GCGACAGGATGCAGTTTCCCCCGGCGTGTTACGGGGGTTCGTTGCTGTGAGAAAGGGGATCCGGTATTGCGGTCGGAAGCGAGGGGCCAGGGGCTCTTCCGGGGGCTTAACATACACACTCCACCCCCTGTAGGCGGAGTGTTCCGCCTCCAATCTACCCCCACCACTCAACCAAGCACTGATACGCGATATCAGCAAACACTTGTTGCTCCGACGTATAGAGAATCTAGAAAGCCGCGCCAACGGCCGCTCGTGCCGCGATTTTTCACGTGCTGATTTTTCCACCACCGTCCATACTCCCACCTCTTGTGTGCAACCCCTCTTGTTCCACCTTCGCCAAACTGCAGTGAAATTTTCGCGCGTGCTTTCCTATATAGAGGTTTCTCTCTTTTTCTTTCTATAAGGTTTCTCTTTCTATTTGACTGTTAGTGGGTGTCTTTCTCGCTCTACTTTACTGGGACAGTCTCTCTCTTTGTTTTGCTTGGTGAAAGACTTGGGCGAGGGGTTGGGTCGGGTTGTGTGGCGGATTGTGATATTCCAGGCTTGAAAACGAGCCGCGCGGATTCCGTCACGCGGCCGCGACCCGGAGTCCGAGATATGTCGGCGGTGCAACGCTGTAAATCTTCTTCGTTCGTTGCGATGCGCGCGGAACTTCCGGCACAGGCCGCCCCGATATGATACGCGCGCGGCCACGACTCCGGACGCGTTTACAGTAATTTGTTTACGATTATTTATACCTATTGGATTTAAGGAGTTTAATGCAGTGGAGTGAACAAGTTTCTCGTCCGATAGATATTTTTATTTGTATTTGTATAAAAGCGATATGTCAAAGAATTTTAAGTTAGAATAGTGTTTATTAGTTTTACTATTTTCTTTTATTTTTTTTTAAGCATTTATATACAGTGTTAGTTGAAATTCTTTTAGATTTTAGATTTAGATTTCTTCATAATTTTGTTTTACGATTACAGCTTATATTGGATTAGAAGAGTTTATGCAGTGGTATGAGAAAGTTTCTAGCAAGACAGAGTTTTTTATTTCTATATGTATATACAAAAGCGAGGTTTTACAAAAGTTTTAATAGTACTAGTATTTATTATTTAATGATATTGTTCATTAATTGTACTGTTTTTTTTTTACTTCTTTTATGCATTTATTATATTATGTATATTATATGTTAGTTAAAATTCTTTTAAATTACAGATTTGGACTTGTTTTAGGATGATTTATATTGAATTTAGCAAGCTTCATATGGTATTGTGAGAAAGTTTTTGGGTAAATAGATTTTGTCCAAGAAATTTCGATTCCAAGAGAGATTTTTTAAAGAATTTTAAGTAATAATAGTGTTTATTTGCTCTACCCTTTTACATGTTCTTATATTTAATTTTAATTAAAATTCTTTTAAATATTTATTTCATAATATTAGGTGAAAACTCTATCTGATTTATTGTTAGAGCTTCAAAATTTTTGCACACCACTGTAGCTTGATCGTTGTCTCGTGTAATGTTTGTTCCCTTTTTTTGAATGTGAAATTTCTGGGTTTGAGTGGTTTGTGAAGTGTAAGGCACTTACATATAAGAACGCGTTGGTTTATATTACATTTATCGAGTTTAGTCATTCAGTTACTCCGTTTAATTTTTCTTTTCTGATTTGTCCCTTTTTAAATCTGAGGAAATTACTGGACTTTAGTAACGAGTTTAATTTCTTTTTTCTTCTTTTTCTCCCTTGTTTTCTTCTTAATATGAAAAAATTGTAGGACATATATATGTGTTGGATTCCATTGCATTTATCCAGTTTAATATGTTATTTACGGTTTCTTTCTTTCTCTTTTTTTGGTATTTCTATGTTTGACAAGTTTATACAGAAAATTAATGTATAATTACGTTATTATTCTCCTTCGGGATTCTTCCTACATTAAATACATAATACAATATAACTATATTACATCTCAACTATCTTGTTACTAGATATAAATTATACTATGTGTATTTATTTTATCTATGCTTAGATTTGCTTATCCTACTTTTATCTTGAATAACCTATTCATTTATTTATACGTACTTCATTGCACTTTCTAATGATATCTAAATTACTAATTAAAGTTGTATCTCTTTGGCTTGATGATTGTAAGGGATTAATGTATTGGATGTATTCGATTGTTACAGGCAGTGCGGTGGCTGCAGCCGACACCATTTCCGCGCCGTGGACTCCCACGAGTTCCGGGCCGCCGCCCGACGCGAACGGCTCCGGCTCGGATACCAAGAACCTCGACGTTGGCGAAATTAGCGATGTAAGTTCATTTACTGTGAGTAACGATAAATATTCGAACGATAATCTGTTCCTTTATCCTCCTATAAATTCCTTCGACGTAATTGTGCAAGTAGTTCTTTGTTAAACCAGCAAATATTGATATCAATTTTGGTGCAGATATTTAATTATTATTCGGTGCGGATTTTTCATTATGTCATGGAAAACTGTTTTTTCTACTCACTTTTTCTACTTACTTTGATTCTCACTTATAGATGAACTTGTTTTTAAGTACTTATGAGCTTAGAGACCATTTGCTTAGATTTACATCTTTTATATATGTTTGTAAATGAAGGTAGAATTACAGGTAGAAAGATTGGTGAAGATCGAGATAAGTACTATTAGAAAATCGGAAGAATTGTGTTAATGAACGAATTTTATGCTTTTTAGCAACGAATATGTTTATGTAAACAAGTTTTGAAAAGATCCATTTGTTTGTTTACATTATAAATTATAACTTGTTTGTTAATTTTTCCTTTGTAAATGTTTATCAGTTTTTACACTTTAAGTATACAGATAAAAAATGATAGTGTCGAATATAATAGTGTCGACTATAAATCTCCAAAGTTGTGTAAATTGGCGTACCATATTTTGATAATGCCTGTTGTCGGTATAAATGATATGATACCTCAATTTTAAGTTGATGACTCAAAAAATGATTTAAATAACTGATTCGTATTATTCTATATAAATGTACGATTTATATAAGATATGCAGCTCGGCGTCAAGGCGTTAATTAACAATGAGAGGTTGACAATTATAAAAGGTCACTATAACCACTATCAGTCGTGTGAATCGTGCATGAAAAGAAAGGTTTATTTATGCACATGTATTAACAATCATTGTTTACAATCTTTATTGAATATTTGATTCATTAGCAAATTACAAAATTATATCATTTTATAATGTGTCACAAAATGATCCGTTAAAGGTACATGGTGATTATCTTCTACTGCGACAGACACACAGAAAATGAATTTGTTAATGGCCTAGATATTTAATATTACAGTAATGAGAAATATTATTCGATGGACTAGAAATCTCAATTTAAGCTGTGATTTGTTAATTAGATTGCTCTATGGTTTTAGGTCTATAAGAAAGTAAAATTTAATTCATCGTTTCGAAATTATAAATTGCCGAAGAATATTTCTTTCTTCTGTAAATTTTTCAGTCGTTAATAATATACTAAGTAAAATAATAATTTCGACTTATTTCATTATTTAACTTAGTCGTAACAACATTTATATTTTGTTTTACACTGTGTAAACAATAAATCACACGTTCATAACTGTCGCGTTTAATTTAATTTAGTATATCATAAAATTGTAAAATTTGTAAAGATTTCCGAACTGCATCTAAATAATGTAATAAAAGCATTGGTTAAACAAGTAAAAGATATGAAAAGCTTGGTAGTTTAATACGAGACATTTCAATATTTTAAAGGTTTATTAATATGAAGTTAACGTTTCTAATTAAATTCGCAAAAGGGCAAGTGTTGCTGAAAAATTTTAATGACGATATTCATCCCTTTCTGCCGTTAATTCCTTATCCTGATTAAAAATCCCATAAATTCTTTTTTCAATTACAATAATTTACTTTTCACATAATTGAATAAAATTTCTTACACATCTATGATTCCGACACTTGCGAGGATACAAACGCAAACGAAGTTTTAGCTCCAGTGGAATTGCGTGCCAGCCAATATTATAAACGTGACTGGACTTCTCAGAAAAGACTTTCCCCTACTCGCAGAATCGTTTCACCTTCTGTCTTTCTACGCTTGATCTAAACGGCCCAAGTAATCGTCCATTATTCTGTTCGTGCAGCACTAATCTGTCTCATTCTTTGACATTTTTAATTCAACCGTAACTTGTATTCAATCATTTTGTTGATAAACGTTATACTTAGTCGGTTATAAATGTTAGGATGTAAAGTCAGTCACAAAAATCTATATACACCTATTAAAATATAAAATGTTATGGTAAAAACATCAGCACCACGAATTTTTTAAACATATTGAGAGAGATATTGTCAAAATATAATGATAAAGACAACTTATTGTCTTTTATCTTTATCAAGAAAAAGGAGATAAAAGAACATAAAATATAATGTTTAAAAATTACATATGTGTGTTAACATGTCCATATGTAATGATAAAAATTGACTTGATATTATATTAATAACTTGTAGGTCATCAATAATGTCTTACTATCTCCTTGCCATCGAAAAGGTTAAAGGCCTTTGATGTAATCTTATTCCATAATTTTTGTGAATTAATATATTGAAATATTTTAGTATTTTTAAATTCCTTTTAGAAATACATGAATAAAAATTGCATTGATACGTAAATATAAATAATTTTGTGACGTGAAACTGTGTTTTCAGTTTCCTTGGTAAATGAAATACGCAATATTCGATAGGTATATGTAGATTTTCGTGTATATATATAGTAAGTATATATATAGTCAGTACTATATATATATATACACTTATTACATGCATTTGTGTTTACAAAATTTACTCTTACATTCTTAACAAATTTTATTTCATTTAATATCGTATATGAATGAATAACATTATAACAAAATAACTAGAAAATAAAAACGAAAAATGCATTCAATTTTCTTAAAATATCAATAGATATCTTAATATTGAAGAGAAGTAATCATCTGAATCTAGTGATAATGAATTGATCACGTTACTGTGTATGTAATTACCTGATGTTTTAAATTTATAGATTTTTTTGTCATACAAAGGAGACGGCTATATGAATTCAAATTTTCCTCCATTCTTCAATATCATAATAATTATACTCATAGAAACAATGTTGACTGTAACAATTTAGGTTGAGTCATCTAATCTTAATGTATAATAAAACATTGATTATCAGCAATGAACAAAGCAATTACAATTAATGGAAATAAATTTGCAATTGAGGGAATATACAACGTGGAATACAAAATTAAATCGGATATCTTACAATTAAGTAACCTGTATGAAGTAAATCAAGCTATTATAATGTAAAATCCAACGATACTAATTGAGGCTTAACTCTTCAAATGATACATAGACAGATTAACCAAAAATCTTGGACGATCGCGTACATTTCACGAGAGTTTCCGTATCAGCTAAAGAGTTTGTGAGAAATCCTATCCGAGGCGTTCGTATTTTGCAGGACGAGAAGGACCTATCGGCAGCGGACGCGGAGGGTGTATGGTCGCCGGATATCGAGCAGAGCTTCCAGGAAGCACTCACTATATATCCGCCATGCGGCCGACGCAAAATCATCCTGTCCGACGAAGGGAAGATGTACGGTGAGTCGAGCAATTTCCTGGCAAATCTCTCTTCGACGTTTTCGCTAGAGCGAAGAAAATAAAAAAATAAAAATACGCAAATAGAACACGACGATGGAGAAAGAAATAGCACGAGTATACAGAGTATACCATCTAATACGGCGGACAATTTTTCAACCATTTACGGTTGTGTAACAAAACAAAATCTCGAACCAAGATTTATCGGTATCTAATATAAAAGAAGTGGCCACAATAAAAATTTCGAAAATAGTCCGTTTTCATAACGAAAACAAAGTCACCTTAGGTTTCTTAAACGGGACCATATATTTATTTTCTTATTAGATTGTAGCGAATGTTAAGACGAGTTCAAAAAGCATGCTACACGATATTTTTATTAACATAATACCGCGTTATCTATGGTCCGTTGTATACTAATCGGCCAATTATTAATACTGAAAACCTGTCAAAGAGGATTAGTATAGTATGTAGAGCTTGTGTATTCAACCAGTTTAGTAGCAGCAACACATTTATTCTTCTGCCACCTATCTTTCTCGTTAATTATGTTACAAGATCCAAATCAAAAAATATATTTGTTATGTTGTTGTTGTGTTTTACGCTAGAAATATTTTAATCATTTTATTACCTAAGCCAGTGTAAAAGAAGAAGAGCATAGACTGTATGTACAGTTGCAGCATATTAATATAATTGTTTTTTGACTAAATTCTGTAAAAAAGAAAGTTTAAAGTTTAAGCGGCGAAACCATCAAACCAAGCTTAAATCTAGCAAAAGGTCTAAAGTACTACTCAAACAAATTACAATGACTACAAAAAATATTTGCACGCCATTACATTTATTATACTAACTAATTAATTAACTAATTAATAAAGTACTAATTAATGGGGCTCAAGTACATATATCAAATTTCGTATCAGTTAATAACACTTCCATATAACTACGAAAACTTGATACTGAGAATGAAATGTAAAGAACCTGATAAAAGAAATGCTTCGTTGGGGAATAAAAGTATGTGCAAATATTTTTAATAGCTACTGCAATTTTTGCTTCCAAGAACCGACTTATTCGCAAAGAATATCTCGGCAAAGAAAAACATCGTTGCACGAAGGACTATTCCTTGTGCTTCACGTACGGGCGTTGCGATGGTAGAAATGTCCAGCCGAGCTCGTTATTGCTCGATGCTGAGGTCAGTCTACGTGACCGACCAGATATTGCCTACTACGACCACGGGTACCACCGTAGTCGCCACCATTAACCGCCATGAACTCACCACCGAGGCAATAATGCCACGCCTCGAAAGATAGCCCCTTGACCAGCATCTTTGTCCTAATATAGATTCCCATTTTCCACTATCTTTTTTCAGTCCTTCTTAACGAATTTTTCGTCAATTCATAAGGTTAGGTACATGGTATTTTCTATTTGCGATTTAACGATTTAAGCCTCAAGTATATTAAATTTGATATTTAGTAGTAGATACTTTCATAAGTTTCATATGATTACAAAAATTTAATATTGGAAAAGAAGAGTATGTGCAAATATTTTTGTAGCCGCTGTATTTTCCTATTTTCTATTTTACTTTTTATTTAATTTTTTATTTTATTTTTTATTTTATTTTTTATTTTCGAATTGTAGTTTTCTACCGTTGCAAATTTTTTTAATTTGAAATTAAGATTGATTCAAATACTTAAGATTTATGTGTGTGTGTGTGTGTATGTATGTAATTTCTCGTTTCGATTTTATGCCAAAGATTTTCCTCAAATATTAAAACTTGCTGAGAGATGCAATGAAATTTAACGTGACGTAATGACCTGCCGCGTTTTTTAGATCACTTTTGGCAGAATTATTATTTTGCTGTTTTAGTTACAAAATTTCTGAAATTTGATGAAGATATGAGAAAATAGTCATCAACGTATGTGATTTCTCGTTCCAACTCTATGTTGAAGATTTTCTTGAAATAGTCAAATTCCTTTTCTCGGTTGAAATAAAGCTAAGATCGACACTAAAACGATAAAATTTTATAAAAAGGAATACAAACTATCGTTCTACCTATATTATATCATACCTACTACCTTTTAAGTTTCTTCAACACAAAGCAAATTTTTCACGAATCATATCATAAAACAAAAATTGATTACGACTTTTTTCTAGTCTCAATCCTGCCTCCAGCCCTTCTTGCCATATTTTTTTCAGGCAGACATAGGCTTGAATCCCTATTCGTTAAGGCACAATGTCGCTTAATTTTCGAAAGCACTCCGCGGCAAAAGCCGACGGGTGGCAATTCAATCTTGGCCCGTGGCCGCTCATGAAAACGAAGCTTAATTCAGACGTCTGGCTCGCTAACAACGAATGAAAACAAGGAGAACGACAATCGACAAAGCTGTGTATCGTCCTTTCGAGACTTTTGTCACTCTCTCGTTCTATTTGCTGTATCACACGAGGAAATTTCATTTTATTCTAGTAGGACAATTCTTAAAGCTTTCACAGCTCGAATTGTCACATCTAATACTGTTACTTGGCATTGTCGTAGATAACATTTGCTAGGCACAATACTGTTTGAAGATTCTAAGAATACGCTGTGTCCAAGAGGGAAACATTCCCAAGGTTTCGCTAACATTACAGTTAACTTCATCAGGAGTCAGAATATACTCATACTCCTGTAATGTTACCGAAACGTTGGAAATTTTTTCGCCTGGACACAGCTTACTTTTAGAAGCCTCAAGGAGTGTCGTACATAGCAGTAACATTATCATATCTTCAATAGTAGAAATTAACTTACAATATCGTTTAGTTTTTATCTATTTTTATTGAAGCAATTGGACTCTATACATAGAAATTATTTATATAGCAATTCGTTATACATTATCCATTCTCAGTCAAATTATAATTATTATTATTATTATTATTAGAATATATTACAGAAAGACGCCTATAAAGTATCTCCTACTCGTATAACGCGCTCAGGAAATTGCTACCGCACACCCGTCTAACGCAATCGCAAAATTGCTTAAAGAGATTCTATATACATGTATGTATGTGACGAACAAGAACACTACATATTGATAATTGTTTCGTTACGCATGCCTTCTGTACTTTGTTGGAGGCTTGATTCATTCCCGACATGCAAATGTATGCGTTCTTTAATTGATTTAAAAATCATAGTTATGAAATAACTTTTATATGATAAGTATTGTGATACGTATTGTGTGACAGTTATTTCTATACAAAATCAGCTGCGTTACTTCCATATAGAATTTATTTTAGTTTACTTGCTGTATCGATTCTGTAAAATAGAGAATTCGGACAACGCAAAATATATCTCCTGTTTTATAGGGTCTCTTACTGTGTATTTTCTTATACTATTAGATTACAATTCTTAAAAAACGAAATGGAGGAAAGGATTCTTATTGTTATGCCATTAGAATAATAAGAAATATTATTATCATTATTAAGAGAATTATTATTACGAATACCTATAGTCTGCTGATGCAAAGAACATTTTATAATAATTACGAATGACAAAACGAACCCTTACATAACTGCATGCACAACTCCAAAAATTCAAATTCAACGTCCGAATCTCCAACATTTGTGTAATCTGGTTGTAATAAGCCACTGATTGGTATGGTCGAATACGAGACACGATACAAAGTCGATCGTCCCGCTCAAGATAGGAAGGAAAAGGAAGAGAAACCTAGAAAGAGACCGAGAATAACAGCATCGACGTCCGTCGAACGCGGATGGAAACAAAGGATAACGAGGCGCGAAAATCGCTTAACGCGATTGGCCATCGATCCTATGGGAAACTTATCTTGCCCGTTGCTCACTCGCCGAGCCAATAAAGGATCCCTCGGCCTTTCCACGGGATTAAATATCTCGGGGCAATTTACCTCCTTCTATCTTTCGTCCTTTCCTCGCACCCCACTGCCTCTCTTTCCACTCTTTCTTTTCCATCAGGACGTCGACGCCCACATCGAGATTTCTCTACGAAGGAGCGATCGTTTCCGCAGCGGACGAACGTCAAGGTGAATCAGCCCCAGAAACTGCGCAATTCGCCGCGCTTATCCAAATGTTATTACATCTCACATAATTTTCAATGATTTTTTGGTGTTTTCAGTGAAAGCGATGATCTCTTTTTTTTCGATTTTGTGCCGAGGATAAGAATTTTTCAGGTTTTTTGGGGGTACTTTTAAAAATTTGTCATTTTTAATCTGTTTTTTTTTAGGATTCTCGGAATTATTTGATTGAAAACACGTAAATATATTGTTCATAGAAATTTGGATACTTTGGTCGATTCATACCTTCGTAGTATGAAAATCCCGCATAAAATCATATATGTACCTAGATACATAATTAAATTGTGAATTTTTACCTAAATTCATATTTTTATAGACATAGCTATACACTTTAAATATACACTAAAATAGACATTCCTTTTACCTACTAAAAATTGTAATCAGTACTTTACTTTGGATATTTTATATATTTTAATGCTTTATATCCATTTCTTCTGCATTTTTTCATTCGGCACGAATGCATAAAAATTCACAGTTTATCTGTAAATTTCTAATTTACGAAATAACCGTGTAACTAAAATAGAAATAAAGATAAATAGAATAAAATAACGAAAATAGAATTGAAAACTTCAAATATAATACTCAGATGATGAAACAAAATCTCTTCTTCTTCTTCCGATTTTAACCCATGAACTTTACGTCGAAACTTGTATCCAGTGGAAAACGTAAAAAAGTAAAAGATAATGGATAACTTAAAGGAAGATAGACTTAATAGGAAGATATTATCTTAAATGATAAATAATATGACACATTTTATAGTGGCTTCAGTCAATAGATAATTTAATTTCTTATTTTGAACTGCATAAAACAGCAGAAACCTTCAAGATAACCTAATATGTAGAAATCATAGAATATAAAAGTGTAAAAAGTTCGATAATACTTAAATTTAATCGTCTTGCCTATCGACAAAAGTACTATGCGCGAAGGTGTCGC